CATTCTTTTTGGTGTCGGTTTTGGGAAGGCTTACCGTCTAGTCTTGGGAGTTAACCGGCTGCTTTTTGCATCCGCCGGCAACTTCTCATCATTTTGTAGGAACGGGTAAAACCAAAGTGCCTGAGCTTCACCTTTTGTTTAGTCTTCCTGTATCTGAGCAATGAGATGACATTTTTCTCTGAGAACATAGATTAGATACAATAAATGATGTGACAGTGCAGGTGCTTTGAGTGAAGAAACAACTATTTCTGACTGGGGATCCAGTTTTGATTTGAAATCATTGTCAAGCATGACTGAGTAGGGTTTTCATCCTGTCACTAATTTATAGAGGATTAAACTACAGTAATTACTAGATGCCTTTAATTAACTGTTAGGACTTAATGTGGAACTCCCCCCTGCACCAATGGGCAATTGCGATTTTCTAAAGGGAGGGTACATTTCCAGTAGTAGAATAAGAGCACGTTATTTTAACTGGTGTCAGGGATCTACTGTGTTCCTCTTCATGGTGGGCAGTTCCTAGCAAAGCTTTGTTGGATTCTGAGAAAATTTATTGATAAAGTTACATTTTACAGAAATAAAATACTTTACGATTTTTAAGAGTTCACCTTCCAGACTGGCACTTTTGTCTCCCAGTATAAGAAGGACTGGATAAACTGGAGTGAGTTCAGCAGCTGCCACCAAGACGGTTGGGACTGGAGCCGTTTCCCCATGGAGGAGCGGAGGGACCAGGGCTGGCTGAGCCTGGAGAAGGGACGGCTTTGAGGGAACCTAAGAGCAGCCACCCAGACCGATGAGGAGGTCGTGGAGGAGAAGGAGCCAGCCCTTCCCAGTGGTGCGTGGTGGGTGGGTGAGAGGCAACAGGCATAAGTTGAAACAAGAAAGACTCAGAGTGGTTTAAGGAAAAGCTTTTTCAGCATGAGGCCAGTCAGGAACTGGAGCAGGTTGTCTATGGACTTGGCAGTCTCTGTCCCTGGAGGGTGTCAAGCTTAAGCTGGTTAAAACCCTCAGCAACCTGCTCTGGCCTCATGTTTGACCCTGCTTTGAGCAGGAGGTTGGACTAGAGACTTCCCGAGGTCCTTTCCAGCCTGCGTGATTCAAAACAATTAATGCCTGTCTTTTCAAAGTATAACTTAAAGCTTAAATACCCAATATCCGAGCCTGGCACCAAGTTATCACAGCACCAAGTTTCTCCTTGCAGCTCCACCCATCACCTTCTCTGAAGAATTGTTCCTTCCCCTTCAGAAAGAGGCTTTGAGCTTCCCCAGGGGAGAACAGCAGAACAACGAATACCTTTCTTCCTGGGTCCACTGCTAATACAGCTTACCCACAAAGCTGAAAAAAAACTTTACAGCAAGATTGTTGTCAACCACACTGTCGTAATTCATTAATTAAGAGTTACATAATACTTTGGTTTAGAAGAAGGAGATGGTACAATCCATTTGGGTTACATTCCATTAGTGGTGTATAATAACCAACTGTTCCCTTTGGAAAAAGAGGAACTCCCGTGATAGTAAGGTGTGTTTGCGGGTCAGCATTTGTTTTCTGCAGGTTTACAGTTACGATGGAGAAAAGTAGAACTGAACTGCATCAACACATTGTGTGTGGTTCATTTAATGCAGTAATATCCTGATGGAAAGGAAGAATTGTTTTGGTTCTTTCGGGTTGCTTTGGGGACTGAAAATCACAGGCTGTCAAGCTGTCTGACTTGTTTTTTCTTCTTTGGCACATTTTTCTTTGATGGGCTGCTTGTGTTCGCAGACTGTTACTCACTTCTGCTCCTTTGAAATTAAGTTTCTTTGCAGACCTCTCTGGAGACTTACTACGGACCATATTATTAAAAAGAAAAAAAAGAAGGAAAAAGGAAAAAAAGATAAAAAAGAAGTGTTTCCCTGCACTGAAGTTTCATTTCTATACTCTTCAGAACCCCCACTGCACAGTGGGTATTACGTAGTTTTTACTTTCAAGCCCTGATGAATCACTCGATCTTTGATTTTTTTTTTTTTATTTATGAAATAATACACTTCCTGTAAATTCCAGGCTGTCACTTGGTGAGTCTCACGTTGCAAGAGGGGTAGGACATTTAGGGGAGCCAGATCTTCTGTGAAGTCACTGGCAGGAGAATCTGATCCTAATAATACTTTAAATGTTTCCACTGCAGATTTGTGTTCAACTGCGTTTTTCTGCACCTTATTTCAGTGCTGTTGTACTAAACCCTACCTCAGCTCAAGGCACAGCCACCATCTGCTGCCAGTTAGTATCAGAAGTGTTCTTTGTAGTCACCAAGGTACTTTGTATTGCCTCTGCAATCTCTTGTTGCCCTATGGCTTCCACCCATCCAAGTAAAATCCGTGTGTTTTAAACTGTGAAAGTATTGTTGTAGGCGTAGCGTCACTTCTGAAAGATTTTACATCTTTGTACATAATAAAAAAGATAAAAAGCAGACCACCAAATTCCCTGAGAACTTTAGCAACAGTGGGTCTGGATTTCAGAACTTGTTATTTGGACTTTGGCCGTGTGATGTGGACTGAAAGATTTCCTAGTCTCTTCCTAGTGAGTATCCAGTATTCAAGGGAAAGCCAGTATTACTGTTGTCGTAGAGATGGATGATGTTTCCTCTAAATCGGTGGCATTTTTAGGCATGTGTTTATGGGTAAGACCTTACTTGCTGTAGGCTGGCACTAGCCAGAGATCTGACATCTTAGGAAATCATTTGTAGCATAAATCATTTTAAGAGAGGGTCAGATTTGCATAGGTGTGAGTATTAATGCTGTAGGCTATTGATTTCTTCTGAGCGTGCAATCACCACGTCTGTGGTAATGCCTGTAGAGAAATGATGGACATGGGTTTATTTTTCAGCCCTGTCAAGCCACATCAGCTTGATTTGTGGTGGTCCAGATCAGCCTTTTAAATTAATAAACTACATTTGGGTAGATTGCTGTGTAGTTTTGCCATCGTATGCTGGTTAGCGTCTTACTGATGTTGCAGCCAGACTCAGAGGAGCCACGCAGGACATCTGGCAGGCCTGGTGTGCCTTCAGAACCAGACATGCCGTCTCCTCACTGCCCTACCAGCTGCAGAGGGACTGTGCGAGGGGCACAGAAGGAGATCCTGGATTGGAAGAAAACAGTGCATAAGTACATTTGTGTGATCCTTCACTGTTCTGTACGTGTGTTGGGCAGTCACGCTTGGAGCAGCCAACAAAAAACTATGGCGTGGAAACAGAAAAATTGGGTTCGGAATTTTTCAGCTGTGGCCTGGTATAAATGACTGGAGGAAACACAAGGCAGGAAAATAACTCTGAATGTGCCCAGTTGCTGTTTTGAACAGGCCAGAGAAAGATGGAGGGGCTGGATTTCAGGCCAGTCTGGATGTGCCACTGCACGCATGCTCTTGGCTTCCCGCTCGTTCATTCTCAGTGGAGCTGCCATGCACTGCTTAATGGCATATTTAAGACAGAAGTAAGAAAGTGGCAGTAACTGCTTACCTTCCTGGAAAAAAAACCTGCAGAAATTATACTTCTAATGTGGGCTGAGGCTTCGAGTGTTTTTTTGTTTGCCTGCAAATGTCTCTGGAGCTGTTATCTAAAGTGCAAGATGGTAACTCATCAAGACATTTCAGTTTTCACAGCTCCGTTTAATTTCCCTTTTCACCCAGGAGCTGCAGGAGTTCTAAGACTGTGTACAGGCACTGCCGTGAATTTAAAGGTGGCTTTGTAAATTCTGGCAGCTTGGGTGATAAAGCTGTCAGGTCCCCGCCACCAGCTACTCTAGTGCTAATGATGGAGAGTGGAAAGGGTGAGGGTGAAAAATGTTCTCCCTTCTGTGACTGCAGCTGTCTAAAACTGTATTGGCACATCAATGCATGACTGGTTGCATGAAGTTGTTAATTACTCCTTAGGGTTCCCTGAGGTCAGAAGCATGGCTTCTGTTTTTATTTTACATTTTTAGTTTGTAGAATTTGGGGATGTCGAGCAATTTGAATGTTTTGTCACTTTTTTCAGTGTGGATTTATGGGCCAGGATGAGGGTGTCTGGGAAATAAATACTCAGTATGAGAAGTGTGTACTTGATAATCCTTTGTACTTGGTAAACCCTTTCTGGGTCTGTGCAGAGCTCGCTTGTTCTAACGGGGCAGACACCGCATTGTCATGGCATCAGTCTGAACGCTGCAGTAGTCACGAAAGGGTAAGCGAAAGGCCCTGCTCCGCAGTGGCCCAGGTCCTGCACGCTTCTCTGTACCGCGTGTCCTGTCTTTGTGCGGGTCTCTCTGGAAGCATGTTGAGGTCCATAGAGTTCCTCCAAAGGCTGAGGCCACACACAAGGGTTGTACAGTGAGGTTTTAAATAACTGAGTTTTTTCCAGTTGCAGAATCAGAAAATAGGTATTAAAATATGTATGGAAAGCATCATATAGAAATACAGAATTTATTAATTGACAGTGTGTAAAGTACACACTTCTCATTTATAGAACTGTCTAATAATTAGAACAGTTGTATAATTAATTCATTTATCAGTCTATATACGTTATTACATCCTAAAATTTTATCACTACCAACAGCAGTGGCAAGTTTTTTAAGTGTCATTTTACTTTATTACATCCTAAAATGAACCTTTTCACTCTTCCATTAATTTTATCACTACCAACAGCTGTGGCAAGTTTTTTAAGTGTCATTTTACCCTGATTCATCTCTTCCAAGAGGCACATATAGTTCAAGAAATATTATTTTTAATCCCATTAATCCAGAAACCAGTCATCAGAATGATTTGTAGAAACGGAGACAGTATAGAGGAAGAGCTTTTCTGGGTGGGTACTGTTGCTAAAGGTGGGAATGGCTACTAATGACATTTTTAGTATTGTTTTTTTTACATACTGTTGTCCCTTGGGGAAGCCCCCGACCCCGTCCTTTGCACCAGGAATGGTCCTTGGCACTGGATTCTTATTACTAAGCCAGTAGAAATCTAAGCAGAAAAGAACCAATAGTTTTTGCTGGCAATGAGCTGTTTGGTGAATTTAGACATCTGCTTGAATCTTATTCCTAGTGAAAAGCGTATCACTTTGCACTGATTTCTTATCTTTCCTGCTTCTGTTTTTCAATAAGTGATAAATACTATATTTATGCTCTTACTGTTACATTCTTTATGGTCTATATGTTTTGTCACCATAAGCACACCATCTTATGCTGTATTACGTTTAATTTCTATTCATTGGGCTATCCAAATATTTAACTGATGTGCACATTGACATTGATATGAATGACACTGAACTTGTGTGCAAGTCAAGATGAGTTTATCCTAAGATTTACAACAGATTTTGTACGCGATCTTTAGAAGTACTGCTCAGTCTCTGAGCTAACAAACAATACTGAAGTCGCAGCATTTAAAGGATCTGTGTGATACACAAGGAAAGCAAGCATACCATTTAAAAACAGTTTTAATACAAGTTTGCTCTCATTCTTACATGCGGATGACTGGCCCGTGAGTAACTAGCTGTGCATAGTTTGCATGAAAGCTCAAGTGCCAAGGAAAGCCAGGACAGCGGTGGTGGAGGTGTGCCAGCCAGAACAGCTGGCTCACAGCAGCCTAATTCTCGGTATAAACGACACTAAATAGAAGCACAGAATGATAAATTCGTGGGAGAGATATTCCTGTGATTAATTTAACAGACACCTGAGGTCACTATTCCCTCACGTAAACCTGATGCAGGAAAGGAGGCGGTGAATCTACCAGTGAAGCTCCTGGGACCTTTTGTCTAGTTAGAGCTCCTCTGACCTTCCAACAAAGGGGTTTTGTTCTGATCTGGGCTACTGTTTTCATTAGCTGTGTTAATTTAAATGTAAAACTCTGAAGAATATAAGAACAAAAGCAAACATAGTATTTTACGCTTTTTTTTTTTTAATATTCACTGTAAAATAAATTTGAGATTCAGAGCAGTGTGCACAGCTTCTAGGACATTCAGCAGCACCGAGTCACAAATTACTAAAAATACCTTCATTTAACTGTAAAATTATTCTAACAACATTAAGATGGATACGTAGGAAGGGTTGTGCAATAACAATGAAAACCAGCATCGAATTTATTTTTTAGAGGATTGTGATGACACCTAGTCTGTACTTTTAGTTACTAAGGTCCTGAATACACATACATTCTTGTCAATTTTCCTCTTCTTCCTATTGCATCAGGTAATAATTTGGAGGAATGAAGTAGTTTCCATTCAGAGAGGAGACAAATAACAGAAGCATAGTTGGTACTCGCAGCGGGGAAATAAAGGTGAACTGTGGCCAAGTGAGCTGTGTCGGGATGCAAGGGGGAGGCAGCAGCTCACCGCGCCAGCGGTTCTTGCAGCTGGAGGAGGTATTCTTGTGCAGGAACAGATTGTGCCTTTCCTGTGGGGGGGGCGGTAACTCCCAGCCTCCAAATTTAGTGAGAGCCAGGATCTAGCTCCCCGCAGGGCCCAGGCAGCCGCTTCGCTGACCAGAGGTATCTTACCCTCCGTATGCAGCGGGGGGCTTCTGCCTGCCTCTGTGGGCACTGCTAGTCCCAGGTTACAAGCCCCAGGAGGGATGTCCTCACATCCCTCCCATGCATGGTTGCTCTTCTCTGCTGTTTCTCCTGCAGCGTTGCATTTGCAGCCAGAGATTCATCTAACCCTGCCAGTTAAGGTTTTAATCAGGCATTGCCAAGTGGCCTGTTCCTTTAGGAAAGAAGGGCTCTCGTTGCCTTTTGTTGATTGACGCTGTGAAGTTGCAAACTAATAGTTATTTTCAACAACCCAGTGCATGCAGAGCTGTGCTTGGCAGAGGTACTACTGTTTCAACTCGTCTTCTGTGGTCTCAAGGAGCGATACGAATGGGAGGAATAACATTAGCTATTTCCATTGGGACATGACACTTCCAGGGGCTGCTTTCTGTGAGATAATCTGCACTAAATTTACTGGGATAATGCTCCAATTATTTTCCAGTTCTTGCCTGTTTCTTCAGTTCCTTGTGAGGAATCCAATTAGCAATCCAATTTATAGTACAAGCCACCAACATTATTACTGCTGAACTTCAGAGGCAGGAACAAAGCGAGCTGAAAAGAAACTTCTTTAGAATAGCTTTGCAACAGTGATCAGCATATTGTGACACTCCACTTTCAGCTGATCGATAGATAAAACCTGTGCGTTGCATCATCAAGCTTTAATGAGCTGTGTCGCAGCACAGATGGCTGTTGTTTAGTTTCCCTTTAACTAGGTGATGTGTTGCATGAAACTTGCACACAAGACATATTTGATGCCGCGCAGGGCGTAGTTCTTGATTAAAGTCCGAAAGAGCAGCAGCCTACCTGCATGCTGTCCAAGGGCTACCCCGGAGTGATGGGGAAATGCAGAGGGGGTAATTCTCAGTCTCGCTGTGTGTCGAAGCAGCTGGGAGTAGCCGGATGCTCAGCTAACTTCTCTTCATCAGCTACTCCCATCACCCATTTTGTGTTTATCAAACATCACAGCTTATTGTTTCTTGATAACCACAAAACCCAAAGCTTTTAGTTTATCATCAGGACAACTTTAGCAACTCAGCCTTTACCCTGTCTTATCAACGTGCTATATTGCCAGAGAAGCTCTCTTTGGTAATTAATTCTCCATGGCTTTTTAATACTTCGCTATTCTTCTGAGATTGCAAAGTGTTTCTCTTTTAAAGAGGGGTGACAGTTTTAGTGTGGCTTTGGTACCTGCCTGTATGTCCATGAGAACCTGTGCAGAAAGTACAGCCAATTCCCACAGATACATTCAACTCAGCAATTGCTTTTATTACAATTTTTTATTGTTAAAGATCGTGAGGGGTCTTGCTACTCAGTTCAGCCTTCTTTACCTGGGTTGGGGAACAGCCACGGCAAAGATTTAATTTTAAGCAAAAGCATGGACAGGAGCCAGGAGGTGTTGCTTTAGTACTGGTATGTTTATTACCCGTACCAGGATGCACTAGATCTGAACCTCAGACTAAGAAATAATTGTTTCAAAAAGGTAAATATTTGCTCATCAGAACATGATAGGAATCTTAGAGACTGTTGTACAGTA